TGGATGAGTCTGCATATCAAGTTTTGGTGTGTGTGTGTGTATGTGTGTGTGTGTGTGTGTATGAAACAAAGGGATATTCTGTATACATTTTGAAATGCTTGTATTGATTGAAGTTTTAAAAATTCATAATCATGTAGGCAATCCTAGTGTTGTTCCTCAACTCTGCATAGTAATCCTCACATGATGGTCCTCAATATCTGTCCTCCTGATCAGTATCACCAGATAATACACTTTAAATTATTTTTTAATAAAAGAGGTATTAATCAGTGCTGCTTTGATAAACTACAGCCAAAAAGACTCCCCAAATGAGGTTAATTCTTATGATTGGTCAAGGCAAGCATTTTTCTTTCCATTTATTTGCTTCTGTCCCTCCACAGCAGGTTGTCTAGGCAACCAATATAAGAAAGCTAGGACTAGTAGAAATACAAGATTTTCCAGGAGAGAGACACTCAGTTGATTCCTTCTTGGTTTTATTTCCCTGTTTAATTGTTGACCTGCTCTAGAAAGGCAGGGAAATCAATGATGGCCTAGAGTGAGAAGTGGCAGAAAGAGGCTTTGTATACAAAAAAATAAGGAATATCTTAGATACGATGAAAATAGTGTGTTCTTACTGTGGTGGTGGTTTCATAGGCATATACAATTGTCAAAACTTTTTGAATTAAACTTTAAATTGGCACAGTTTGTTGTGTATAAATTATTGCTACATAAATGAATAAGGGGAAAATCCATTTCAGAATTTGCTTGACACACTGTAGAAGTCTGGGAGCCAAACTTAGACAGCTTTTTAGTGGACGATGTCAAAACAAGACAAAATTTAAGAAAACAAATAAAATGGGTGACATGGTAGGAAAGATTATCATAGAAATTGCTCAATATTATTAAGTGTCTTGAATATGTACTCAATATTCTATTTTTCTTTATCTCAACATTGAAGATGAATTCTGAAGACCAGAAAAATATTGAATTTACTGAAATGCACGTTTTCTGGCTGATCCTTAAACATATCCTTATTACAATCATGCCATAAATACTTTTGTTCCTCTGCATTTTACTATGTGGCTCTCTTTAAAAATTCCAGCTATAACTGGTGGCTCATGTCTATAATTCCAGGATTTTGGGAGGCCAAGGCAGTAGGATTGCTTGAGGCTAGGAGTTTGAGACCATCCTGAGCAAGAGCGAGACTCCATCTCTACAAAAGAATAGAAATATTAGCCAGGCATGTTGGCACACATTTAGTCCCTGCTACTTGGGAGGCTAATACAGGAGTATTGCTTGAGCCCAGGAGTTTGAGGTTGCTGTGAGCTAAGCTGATGCCACTGCACTCTAGCCTGGGTGACAGATCAAGACCCTGTATCAAAAAGGAAAAAAAATTCCAGTCTGAAAAATCATTTGGAAAAATACTTCTGAAGACCTTGCTCAGATAATGCTTCTTTACTAGTATTCTGTAACAATGCAAAATAAAACCAGTCTCTTTTCCTGATGCAATACATTATCACTATTTCTTATCCGTTCTGTTATTGTTTATGATATCAGACTCCACTTAGTATTTTACTTTATTTTGTTTTCTATTTGATTAAGTTTTGAACTCAAGAACTCTTTAAGAAATATTTTACCCCAAGAGTGTATCATTATACCTATTAAGTGAGGTGTTTGACAAATGTCTCCTGATATTTTTTGAGAGGTTGTGATTCTAATCTCACTGAGTTAAAAAAGAGTTATAAAATAGTTATAAAATGAGTCTTTTCAGATTATTTATAGCACTTTAATTTTAATTGAAACCATTTGTAATGTTATACTTCAACACATAAGGAGCAAATAATAATATGCTTCAATATAAATATTTGATCCAGCAATCCCATTACTGGGAATCTACCCAAAAGAACAAAAGTCACTCTATGAAAAAACACCTGCACACGAATGTTTATAGCAGCACGATTCACAATTGAAAAGATGTGGAAACAACCCAAGTGCCCATCAATACATGAGTGGATTAATAAAATGTGCTATATGTATACCATGGAGTACTATTCAGCTATAAGGAACAATGGCAATATAGCACCTCTTGTATTTTCCTGGATAGAGCTGGATCCCATTCTACTAAGTGAAATATCCCAAGAATGGAAAAATAAGCACCACCTGTACTCAGCAGCAAATTGGTATTAACTGACCAACACCTAAGTGAACATACAGGAATAACATTTATTGGGTGTTGGGCAGGTGGGGGGAGGGGATGGGTATATACATACATAATGAGTGTGATGCGCACCAACTGGGAGATGGACATACTTGAAGCTCTGACTCGAGGGGGGAGGGGAGGCAAGGGCAATATACATAACCTTAACATTTGTACCCCCATAATATGCTGAAAAATAAATAAATAAATAAAATATAAATATATATGTTCAAAATGTGAGAATAATACTAATGTTCACTTTCCTCCAAATATGCATACTTTTATCTATTTTGTTATTCCTTCTCCCTTTCTATTTTGCATTTTGGTTATGCCTCTTCTATACACCTCACATACCAGGATGCATTTATTGAGAATATGTTTTGTGTAAATCATTATGTAATTGAGATTTAGATTTAGAAATATAGTCTCCATAAGTGCATGTACTGTTTTATATAATTGTCACAATTTTTTATTGTTATTTATTTTTTTGTATTTCAGCATATTACAGCGGTACAAATATTTACATTACGTATATTGCCTTTGTGCCACCTGAGTCAGAGCTTCAAGCATGTCCATCCCCCAGATGGCATGTACCACACCCATTAAGTGTGAATACACCCATCCCCTCCTCCCCCCTCCCATCTGCCTGACACCCGTTGAATGTTACTACTATATGTGAACTTAAGTATTGATCAGTTAAAACCAATTTGACAACGAGTACATGTGGTGCTTGTTTTTCCATTCTTGGGATACTTCACTTAGTAGAATGGGCTCCAGCTCTACCCAGGATAATAAAAGAGGTGCTAGATCACCATTGTTTTTTGTGGCTGAGTAGAACTCCATGGAATACATATAGCACATTTTATTAATCCACTCATGTATTGATGGACACTTGGGTTGTTTCTGAATCTTCGCAGTTGTGAATGTGCTGCTATAAACATTCAAGTGCAAATGCCTTTTTTATAGAATGTCTTTTTTTCTTTTGGATAGATGCCTTGTAATGGGATTGTTGGATCAAATGGTATTTCTATTTTTAGCTCTTTGAGATATCTCCAAATTACTTTCCACAGGGGTTGTACTAATTTGCAGTCCTACCAGCAGTGTAAAAGTGTTCCAGTCTCTCTACATCCATCCAGAATTTGTTATTTTGGGACTTGTTGATAGAGGCTGTTCTCATTGGAGTTAGGTGATATCTCATTGTGGTTTTGATTTACATTTCCCTGATGATTAGAGATGTTGAGCCCTTTTAAAAATGCTTGATGGCCATTATTCTGTCTTCTTTTAAAAAATTTCTGTTCATGTCATTTGCCCATTTATTGATGGGGTTCTTTGATTTTTTCTTATTGATTTTCTTAAGTTCTATATAGATTCTTGTTATCAGCTGTTTATCAGATGTGTAGAAAGCAAATAGTTTCTCCCATTGTGTGTAGGTTGTCTGTTTGCTCTAAGGACAGTTTCCTTGACTGTGCAGAACCTTTTTAATTTGATCAGGTCTCATTTGTTTATTTTTGTTGCTGCCGCAACTGCTTTGGGGGGTCTTTTTCATAAATTCTTTACCTAGGCCTATGTCTAAAAGAGTCTTCCCCACATTTTCTTCCAGAATTCTTAAGGTGTCACAGCTTAGGCTTAAGTCTGTTATCCAATGTGAGTTGATTTTTGTGAGAGGTGAGAAGTAGGAATCCACTTTCATTCTTCTGCATGTGGATATCTAATTTTTCCAGCACCACTTATTAAATAGAGATTTATTTCTCCATTGTATACTTTTGTCTGCTTTGTTGAAGATTAGATAATAATATCAGAATGGCTTTGTATCTGGGTTCTCAGTTCTGTTCCATTGGTCTATGTCTCTGTTCTTGTGCCAGTATTATACTTTTTTAGTTACAATAGCCATATAGTATAGCTTGAATTCTGGTAAATTGATGCCTCCCAATTTGTTCTTTTTGCTTAAGATTGCTTTTGCTATACAGGGTCTTCTCTGGTTTCATACGAAACGTAAAATTATTTTTTATAGATATACAAAAAATGATGTTGGTATTTTAATAGGAATTACATTGAAACTGTAGATCACTTTGGGTAGTATAGACATTTTAACAATGTTGATTCTGCTGACCCATGAGCATGGTATGGTTCTACACTTGTTTATATCCTCTGTTGTTTCCTTCCTCAGTGTTTTGTAGTTCTCCCTGTAGAGGTCTTTTACCTCCTCAGTTAAATATATTCCTCGATATTTTATTTTCTTTGTTGCTATTGTGAAGGGAATTGAGTCTTTGATTTGGTTCTCAGTTTGACTGTTGTTGGGGTATAGCAATACTACTAATTTCTGTACATTGATTTTGTAACCTGTGACTTTGCTGAATTTGTTTATCAATTCCATTAGTCTAATGCAGAATCTTTAGAGTTTTCTAGATATAAGATCATATTGTTACAAAGAGCGATAGTTTGGCTTCTTCTGCCCCTATTTGGATGCCCTTGATTTCTTTCTCTTGTCTGATTGCTCTGGCTAAGACTTCCAGCACTATGTTGAATAGAAGCAGTGATAGAGGGCAACCTTGTCTGGTCCCAGTTCTAGGTGGGAATGCTTTCCATTTTTCCCAATTCAGTGTGATGTTGGCTGTGTGTTTGTCATATATGGCTTGTATCATTTTTAGATAAGTCACATCTATGCCTATTTTGTTAAGCTTTCTTATCATAAAAGATGTTGAATTTTGTCAAATGCTTTTTCTGCATCTATTGAAAGGATTGTATGGTCTTTGTTTTTGTTTCTATTTATGTAATTGTCACAATTTTAATTGCTTCAGAAATATCATTTGGGCTAGCCATATTTGATATGTCTATAATCCACTCTAATCTCTTCTTAGAAGGAAATGGACTGACCACAAATGATGATAACAGAACTGAAGTTGCTGACTTTCTCCTTATGGGATTTGCAGACTCCTGGCAGATGCAGATTGTACATGCTATTGTATTTTTACTAGTTTACCTGGCAGCTCTCACAGGGAATCTCCTAATCATCATGGTCACCACTCTGGATGTTCACCTCCAAACTCCAATGTATTTCTTTTTGAGAAACTTGTCTTTCTTAGATTTTTGCTACATCTCTGTCACAGTTCCCAAATCTATTGTCAGTTCCTTGACTCATGACACCTCCATTTCTTTCTTTGGGTGTGCTCTGCAAGCCTTCTTTTTCATGGACTTGGCAACTACTGAGGTAGCCACACTTACAGTGATGTCCTATGACCGTTATGTGGCCATCTGCCAGCCCTTACGTTATGAAGTCATCATAAATCTGAGGGCTTGTGTGAAGATGATGGCCATGGCATGGCTCAGCGGAGTGATATGTGGACTCATGCATGTGACAGCAACATTCTCATTACCATTCTGTGGGCCTAATAGAGTACATCAATTTTTCTGTGATATTCCACAGCTCCTGAGCCTGGTGGACTCCAATGTAATTATTATTGAGATTGGAGTCATGGTTTTTGTTACAAGTCTTGTGATAATCTGCTTTGTTTCAATTACTCTCTCTTACATGTACATTTTTTCTGTCATCATGAGGATTCCATCTAAGGAAGGTAGATCAAAAACATTTTCTACCTGCATTCCACACCTTGTGGTTGTAGCACTCTTTATGATATCTGGTAGCATCGCCTATGTTAAGCCAATTTCAAATTCCCCTTCAGTTTTGGATGTTCTCCTGTCAGTGTTCTACACAGTGGTTCCCCCGACCCTGAACCCCATCATCTACAGTCTGAGGAATAAGGACATGAAGGCAGCCCTGAGAAGGCAGTGTGGATGCTGATGAAGAACTTGATTAGGGACCAGAACTCCTGAACTCTTGTTCTAACTGGGCAATGTTTAAGCTTCCTGAGTTTGTATTTTCAATTGATCACTGAACTCTTTCTTGATTTTTTAAATGGAATTCAGCAGTAGTCTAGCAATGTTCTGTATATTTCGATGAATCCAACACTAGAATGCACTGAAGGGTACTCTAAGTGTTTAAAATATTAGAATTCGTGCTTTTACTCATTTTCATGTTTTATCCTCCTCAAAATTTTTAAAATTATATTGTTGATATAATTAAATATAATTATATTTAAAATTATATTCATTAATACACTGTACTAATTAATACAAATATTTTATTACTAATATAAAATGAATTAATATGAATATTATACTCATTAATACACTGTATTAATTAATACAAATGTGAATTACTACTATAAAATGAATTAATACAATATATGTATATTAGTCATGGTAGAATAAGATTATATGTTTTACAAACAACCAAATTGAAAATAAACAAAAGGTGGTGTGTGCTCAAAATGTTTTCAACTTTAGAAAGTGTGGTCAAATAGGTTAGAGACTAGTGATTGGAGGCCAACTGTAAACCTAAATAATATAAAAGATATATAATTATTTGACAAAGAATAAAGGTACAGATAGGTTTGTACTGCTATGTATAGAAAAGATCATATGAGGAAATGTTCTTTTAATTTAATTTTAATTAAAAATTATATAGTGTTAAACTAAAATCTTATTCAAAGTCCCTTCCCTTTTTCCATGCCTGGAGGGAAATACTATCTGAAAGTTATTATGTATCATTCTCTGAGGGCTTTTATGCATATTCTATATATGTATTTATATAATACGTAGTATTATTTTATGAGGTAATATTCTATTTAAATCTATTATAAATAATATACTGTAGTTATACTTTAAGATGTTTTTATAATTTTATTTTTAATTGATAAATAATAATTGTATTTGTTTATAGTATAAAATATGATGGTTTGCTATATATTTACAATGTAGAATGATGAAATCAAGCTACGTAAAATATTTATCATCTAAAATATTCATCATTTCTTGTTGTTGACAACATTTAAAATTTAAAATAGGAGACCTGCAGACACCAGCCCATGGATGGCCACCGCAAGCGAGCTGTAAGCCTGTAGCGGACACGGCACCAGGCTCCCAAATTCCATGGGGCACCTCCATGTGCACAGACCAGAGCCGCAGGGAAGGCGCCATATTGCCTCCTTCTCCCCTCCCCCGACCCTACCCTCTGCTGCCCAAAGAGACAATATAGCCACCAGCAAGAGGCACCTCCAGGGAATGGGACCTTCCCTTTTGGGAACCCACAGCTGACTAAGGGGAAATCAGACTGTGAGCTCCCTCCCCACCAACCCTCCCAGGTGCTGCTGGAATGGTGATCCCAGGAGAACGGTGCAGCCCTGAGGCTGAGAGACATAGACCCAGCTTGGGCTCCCTGTGGGCGAATTGGGACTGGCACTCCTCTCCCTGATGAGGATATAGTTCCACTCTTGGACCCAGAGGTCAGACCTGCAGACCAGATCCCGTGCACCGAGGTCTCGCATTGCCCTGGGCACAAAAGGGATATACGTGAACAGCCCTACTGAGGTGTGTGTGCCTTCAGGGGCAGATCAGCATCCTAGAGGGCAACCCTCCTCCCAGATGGAGGCCGTGCCCCCAGCACAGGTGGCATTCCTGTGCAGGGAACCTCCCCGGTGGCATCAGAGTCTGGGGAGGCCTGGTGGCATGTGGTCTGCCCTGCTGGCAGAGGCCCAGGAGTAGCAGCGGAGTTGGGGAGGGTGGAAAGAAGCGAGGCCCGCTCCAGACTGCGGGTCTCAGACAGCCCCACCCTCACACACAGATTTTCTAATTGAGCGGGGCCATTCCAGCCCCTCCATGACAGCATTTTCTGGAAACAGAGAACAGAAATTTGACCCCTGCTAACGGCATTGGTGGTGCTTGAGGGCAGGCTTACCCAACCCAGCTCTGCCCAGACTCTCTCCTAGACCAGCCCTCACTGAGGGGGAGAAAAGGACACACCTGGAAGTCCCAGGGCCCCACTGACCACCTGAGGCACTAGAGTGCCTCCCTACAGGAAGAAGAGCTGATAACAGGACACAAAAACAACAGCGTAGCCTGTTCCTCCAAGCAAGTGCCACCTACTGACAGGGAGGGCATCCTGTGCAGCCTTCTCACGGCACCTACTGACTCATTATACAGGGAGTGGTCGAATCTCACTCACAGACACCACCTACCGGCTCAGAAACTAAACAAGGCATGTGAACACCCAAACAAAAACCTAAAGGAAAGAAACAACAACTGTTTGACATGGGAAGAAATCAGCAAAGGAACTCATGAAATATGAAGAACCAAATGAAAAACACACCCCCAAAGAGGAGCACCAGCTCCCTAGAAATGGACACCAAACAAAATAAGGCAACCAAAATGACAGAAGAGGAATTTCATATGTGGATCATATGAACACTCACCGCCCTGCAAGAACAAATCAATAACCAACACAAAGAAACCACAAAAAGGCTGCAGGACTTAGAACAAAGGTTCACTAAAGAAATAGACACAATGAAGAAAAGTTTAACCGAACTCCTGGAAATGAAGAATCAATTCAGGGAACTACAAAATACAGTGGAAAGTCTCAAGAACAGGGTAGATCAAACAGAGGAAAGAATCTCAGAGATTGAAGATAACACCCTCCAACTAAATAAAACCATGACAGAGATAGAGCAGAGAAACAAGAGAAAAGAGCAAAGCCTACAAGAGATGTGGGATTATGTGAAGGAACCTAATGTGAGGGTCACAGGGTTACCAGAAGGGGAAGAAGACAACACTCAAGGGTTGGACAAGCTGTTTGAAGATATAATAGAGGAATATTTCCCAGACCTTGCTCAAAAATCTCGATATGCAAGTTCAAGAAGCTCAGAGGACCCCTGGGAAATTCAATGCAAACAGGAAGACATCACGACATGCAGTAATCAGACTGACCAAAATATCAGCTAAAGAGGCCCTTCTAAGAGCTGTAAGATGAAAGAAGCAAGTGACATACAAGGGAAAGCCAATTCGAATAACACCAGACTTCTCTAATGAGACTTTGCACTCAAGGAGAGACTTGGGCCCCATTCTCACACTTCTGAAACAAAAAAATGCCCAGCCTAGAATCTTCTTCCCTGAAAAACTAAGCTTCATATAAGAAGGAGAAATAAAGACATTCTCAGACAAGCAAAGTCTCAGAGAATTCACCAAGACAAGACCAGCCCTACAAGAAGTACTCAAAACAGTATTATGCACGGAACATCATAATAAAAACTCATGAATATAAAAACAACCAAAATCTCACAGACTAAAGGCCAGATAATACAATGGCTCAATAGAGAAATCAAAGCAATAACATCTAACCCAAGAGAATGAACAGTAATCTACCTTACCATTCTATTCCCTCAATAAATGTGAATGGCTTAGACTCTCCACTCAAGAGACATAGGCTGGCCAAACTGATGTACCAGAGTTATTGCAATACCTATTAAATCCCATCGCATTCTTCACAGATATGAAAAATAATTTAACGCTTCGTATGGAACCAAAGAAGACCCGATATCAAGAGCATTCTAGGCAACAAAAACAAAATGGAGCATATATAGCCCGATATCAAAGTTTCTACAAAGCTGTAGTAATTAAATCAATATGGTATTGGCACAAATAGGAATATCACAAGTGGACAGATGTGAGAATCCTGATATAAAACCATCCTATAACATCTAATTTTTGACAAAGCACGAAAAAACATACGCTAGGAGAAAGAATCCTTTTCAGTAAATGGTGCTGGGAAAACTGGATAGCCACCTGTAGAAGCTAAATAAGGACACACACCTTTCACCTCTCACAAAAACCAACTCACCGCTGGATAACAGACTAAATCTAAGGTAGGGAACTATTAGAATTCTAGAGGAAGTGTTGGAAACACTTCTCCTAGACATTGGGTGTAGGCAATAGTTTATGAAGAAGTCCCACAGACAATCACAGCAGCAACAAAATAAATATGGGACACATGAAACTACAGCGCTTCTGCAACACAACAGAAAGAGCATGCGAGTAAACAGACACCTACAGAATGGAGAAAATTTTTGCATCCTACACATCCGATAAGGGGCTGATAACTGAATATATTAGAACTCAGAAAATCAGGAAGAAAAATCAATACCTATAAAATGGCAAAGTACTTGAACAGAAACTTTTCAATAAGAAGACAGAAGAATGGCCAACAAACATATGAAAAATGCTCAACATGTCTAGATCATCAGGAAATGCAAATCAAAAATCACAAGAGATATAATTTAACTTAACTGAGAATGGCCTTATCAAAAAGTCTCCAAACAATAAATGCTGTGTGGATCGGAGAGAGAGAACATCCTACACTGCTGGTGGACTGCAAACTAGTTCAACTCTGTGGAAGCAATATGCAGATTCTGAAACGATACAAGTGGATCTACATTTGATCCAGCAATCCCATTGCTGGGCATCTACCCTAAAGATCCAATGACACTCTACAAAGAAGACACTGCACTCGAATGTTTATAGCAGCAACATTCTAATTGCAAGGCTGTGGAAACAGCTAAAGTGCCCATCAATCTAAGAATGGATTATAAATGGTGGTATACTGTAATACCCATGGAGTC